CACAAGTTTCAAAATCAATGTTCTAAAGCAGCAGTTCTCAATACTGTTCCTCACGTCCCCCTGCTCTGCACACGCTCTGCATCTCTCGCTCTCATTCAGCTCAGCTCCAACAATGATCGGTTTTAATTATACAATTATTTTCACATAGCTATGAGAAGCGTTATACATGGACGTGCGTGCAGTTGCCGTACTGTATTAAAAGCTTTAATCAGGATAAAACCGTATATTAAAAGCTAACATAACCAGTAGCATTTACAAATAACAGCATATCTAAAAGTATAAGACAACAACAAACAAAAAAAACATAGGCCTACCATTAAAAGCTGTGCTTGCACATGTTCTATGTGATCCTCTTCAATAATATCCTCTGCTTCTCAATCGGGCTCAAACTGATAAGCGATATTAACGACGCCGTTGTTTACAATACAACCGGAGCACATGCCGCTGAGGTGAGGGGCTGGACGTTTAGACATGCACTAGAGGCGGTTTAGCCAATCACAACACACAGGGCTAGCTAACCAATCAGAACCCATCGCTTATTTCTGAGGGTGGGGCTTCATAAAAACAGGAGAAGATCAGCCCGTTTCTCAGAGAAGGGACAGAGCGGTGTTGAATAAAGGTAAAGTTTAAAGGTGAGGTTTTTTTTTTTTAAACGAAGCATTAACACATGTTAGACTGCACCCCATAAACACAATCAAGCCTAGAAAAAATACAGTGAACCACCCCTTTAAGTCTCTCATCCCAAATATAAGCAAACAGCACATTCCGGCTTAGCAAACACTAATGTATCCTATGCCATCTATAATTCAACTTAAAATGCATTTGTAAACTCTAATGCACCATCCTTGGCTAACATTATCTGCAATTAAGCACCAAAATTATGCAAAAAATAATACTTACCAAGCACAATACAATACAATACAATACAATACAAAGCATACTGATATGGTTTAACTGTATATCTATGCAACGTGAATGCATAATGGTATCAATTAAGGGAGATTCTGACATTTAAGATGCACAAAGACTGGCAGGAAATTAAAATAATTACAAAATTAATTGACAATTTTTTCCTCAGAGAATTACTTTCATGTTCAATTAGCTTACAAGCGCATACCATCATCACCTATATTGGTAGGTTATAAATATTTGTGAAATATTCCCCACAATTTAATCATCTTTCATTCATTTTATTTCATTCGATTCATTTTATGGCTGGTTGCCTTAGTCATTCAATTTAAATTATGGATGTTAATTGTCCTAGTGGGCTCTAAGAGTTAACTAACGACTTAGTGCATTTGCAGACGTGACTAATGGAGAGTAACATTATTCACATTAGCCGTTTAAGAGGTTAGAAGGCAGTGGGAAGGTGGTTAATACTAAATGCTGGATGCTAATCGAGAGTCTCTTACATTTAGCACCTACAATTAGACTGAATTGGTTCTAGGATCTGGTTGCAATATGGCAGAGGAACACGGTCAGCAGACAAAACAGATGTAACAAACTGAAGGGCATGCTGGTTAGGCTGAATGCAAGATGTATGGTCAACTTCTGGCCTTAAATGGTGAGTCAGGCATGATTAACATAGTAGGTAACATGAGTGCTGTTTTATTTAGACAAAGCATAAGATGAACTACAATATGACTTGCAAGCTTTTGAGACACTTTGTCTGCTGACAGATCACTCCTGCCGAGGTTAAATTTCACAGAGGAGCCTTGATCAGCAAACTTACTTCATCCCAAAATGCAAGCAGAGAAGATGTGGATGAGGAGAAGACAGAGTCCTTTTTTTTGAGGGGGACAAAAATAAGATGACAGGTAACACAGCTTTTGTCTTTATGAACTTACTTTCACTTTAGGTCTTTCCCTATAATCCCATGAGTTTCAAAAATACAGCCTGGTTACAGCTGTCAACCTAATCACTTACTTCAAGCGGTTTCATTAATCTGAAAGATGGGCATCAGACTTGCAAAATTGTCTAGTTGACTTGGTCTCTGAATAGGCAATCAAAGCATGATGGACCATTTGGCCATGAACTGAACTGACTCAGTGACTGTAGTAAATCCATCGCTCAAGTCTTTGTCATCAGCTACTGTTCCAATGTAAACTGTGACTGAAAGCTACATAATAACTGTTGGGAGTCGGTGATTTCAGGATGAGGCAGGGCAGGAAGCCTCATATCACACATCTACACCAGCAGGCTAAGGTCAACAAGGGACTCGCTCTTGAGCTCAAAAGCAGCAGGAACTGACTGCTTGATACGCGTTTTTGAACTTGATATAGCATCTGAAATCAAACCCGGAAACTCCAGACAGGTAAAAAAGGTGCCGGGGAGGGGGATAATTAAAGAATCTAATTAGAATAGAACTACATGCTTAGGTAGCAACATGGTTTTGACAGAACTCCAATGTCTAGTGTAATATCCTACACTAAAAAATTACGTCAAAAACAACAATTTAATCAACTTTACATTTCAAATAAAGGCTTTAAATCATAAAAAAAAGTACAAAAGTAAAAAATAAAATAAAATTATTATCTGTACACAAATCAGGGCTGTGCTTATAAACAAGAGGCAAGCTGAGTAGATCAGGGACATCAGAACCAGTATCCACTGTCTGCTAGACATTCGTAAACGTGTGTGTATCTTTGAAATTGCAGCTGTAAAAAATCTGCTAACCCTAATAGTTTTGCAAACCATCCTTTAAGTAACCTGGACAGATGAATGACAGATTTATTGGCCAATAGCCAAGAAAACAATCTTGTGCTCCGCCTCCACACTGATTTGATGGATACACTCACCCGCTTGGTGACCCTAGGTGCCACCATTGACCTCTGGGTTGGCATGCTTACTCCAGGCCCTTGCTGATATAGTTATTAAAGTTTACACAAAAGTATATTAATATATATTTTAAAATCTCTATATAAAATGTTATAATAAATAATAAATGTTGATTTTGATGTATAATATTCACAAATATTTAAATGTACACACCACCAAAGTTTGAGGACAGTCATTTTTGTTTTTGAAAGTCTCTCAGGCTCAGCACAGCTGCATTTGTTCGATCATAAATACAGTAAATACTGTAAATAATATTGTACAGCAATATTATCGAGTATTATTACCATTCTAAATTTTCTTTTCTATTTTAATATATTTTAACATGTAATTTACTCCTGTGCTGTGATTTTTCAGCATCATTACGCCAGTCTTTATTGTCACATGATCTTTCAGCAATCATTTTAATATGCTGATTTGTAGCTCATAAAACATTTCTTCTTATTATCAATGTTGAAAACAGTTGTGGTGCTTTAATATTTTTGTGTACATTTTCTGATGAATTGACACTTCAAAAGAACAGCATTTGTTTGAAATAGAAATCTTTTTTTATATATTATAAATGTCTTTACTAGCATTTTGATCGATTTAATTTATCCTTGCTGAATAATTATTTTATTTTTTTCTAAATAAAATCTTACTGACCCCGAACATTTGAACAGTTGAGTATTTTAAAACTGAACTGCCTATTAATTTGATTCCTTAAGACACATCTGAGGGAGCAGGAAGTAATGTTAAGTCATATTCAAACAAGAAATGTCTGAATTTTGTTTACAGAAATTATCTTGAAAATTGACAAAACCACAACATGCCATTTTAATCAATTCAATCTGCGATTTTCTTAACTCTGTGACCCAAACACAGGACGTTTATGGCATACTTCACCAATAGCCAGAGTCTATTGACTTCTATTTGTACCATGTCCTGTAGCAACCCTGCAATTAAGCCAATTAGTTCAATTTGAGAATAAGCGACTTTGACCACATCTTTTGAACGGTGGCTTCAACCCAAACTTTCGGGCCTGTGAATCAATAGTTCTCATTAGCAGATCATACTATGGCAATAACAAACAGCACTTTCAAGAGGGAAAGTCACCAATACCAATCTCCTACAGTCTGTCTTCAACCTCCTTAGAAAAGGATATTAAATCAAATGTGACCTCCTACACACCTACAACATTAACATGTCACTTCCCTTTAATCAATTTCCATTAGAATTGCTATTTAAAGCGAATCTAATGTTACTGTGCTACGCCTCAAAGGAGTTCGAGAGAGAGCGAGAGAGAGCTTTCCACTGACAAAATTAGAAGTCTCACTCTATCATAACAGATGCCCTATAAATCCCTATAAACTAAAACTGGAGCATAACAGCAGATCAGCTGTTTAACTGGGAGTTCAGTGGTTAAAGCTTGATCATTCCCCTCTATTAATTTTGAATCAAAGTTAGTGATGTTTACCAGTGTTCTGGATCCCAGACTAGAGCTACGCAGAGACTCCAACTCTTCCGTCATCTTGGAGGCCAGAGCCTGAAGGTAGCCACGTGCATCTTTCTCATCGCTCACCCTACAAAACATACACAGTCATAAATTTGTCTATTTGACCACAATGTCACCAAACCAAGACATATATTTTATTGCAACTCAAGATATAATTCACTCAAAAATCCTTTTGTGTTCCACTGAAGAAACACAAGAACTTTTATTTTTGGTGAATTCTCCCTTTAAAGTATTTTTGTTGGCCATACATACAAGTGAATGTGAGGGAGGGCTTTCTCACCATTGGATAATCTCAGCGATCTGTGCTTCCCAATGTGCTACACTCTCTTTCTTCGAACCCAGATCCTGGAGCTCGTCCTCCAGCTGCCTGTTCTGAGCTGTCAGCTTGTCCACAAAGTTGCAGAGCTGCAGGGGAGGAGATTTCAGGATCAGTGTCAAGGACTGAATTACTCCAAGAAGTGATACTCAGTGTGGCCTCTTGCAATATGAAATATGGTGTCCTACCCTGTCTGTTTCTACAGTGAGTTTACGGTTTTCCTCACTCAGAAGGTGGCGTTCACGTTCATACTTCTCCTTCAGAGCACCCATGACCTCATCCATCTCGGTTTGTCTGTGGGTATAGAAATAGGTCTGGAATTAGTGATCGATATGCGGTTTTATTTTTTTATTTTTTTAATGGCTAAAGACAGTTCTGACAATAATATTTTTGAATATTATTACAATATAGTTTTACAGTTTTTTTGCTCAAATAAATGCTGCCTTGGTAAGCATAAGAGACTTATTTTAAAAAAATTATTCATTATTTATTTATTTTTTTAAAAATCACATTTTTTAAAAGTAGTGTACATACATACATACTAATTATTTTCTTAGATTTAAGCCAATGCTAACAACCTCATTGGGGTTAAATATCAGCCAAATAATCAACCTGGCCAATATATTTGTCTATCACTAGGTGGAATCAAATCTTTTGGTGTCAACCCACAACCTGTACAGGTGAAAGTACAGTACCGCTCTCTCTTGGCCTTTTCCAGTTTGTCTTTGAGCACCAGCAGCTCTTTGTGCAGTGACAGCTGTTGACCCTCAGAGTCGTGGAGCTCCTTCCTCATGTTCTTCAGGTCTGTAGTGTGGCTGGCATCACGTCTCACCAGCTCCTCCTCATAGAACAGCACTTTCTTATCCAGCTCTGACTTCAACTTGGTGAGCTCCTGCTGAGTCTCTGAACTGGGACCTGAGGCACGACCCGTTCCCTGCTTGACCTGAGAAAGAAACACTCTGAGTGAGAGATATCCTGAGAATTTAGATATATTCGAGTTATTAACAGTTTAATTTAATACAATTAATTACTTTTAAGCTATTTTAATCGATATACAGCTCTACAATCATATACAAACCCACATTATGGAGAGCACAGAAAGAGGAGTGAGCAAAGAGGCAAAGGAGAGTCTTCTTGACTTGCATGCAGAAGGAAAAAAACATAAAACAAAGGAGAAACATCCTGCTAAAAATAACCCCATAGGATATCCTACACATGGAAGGAGGAAAAAGAAAGACGGGAGGGAAAGCAAGGTGACGTATGAGGTTAACAGTGTGGAAGGCAGAAGAGAGCTAGAAGAAACCCCTGAGGAAGGTAAAGAACAGCTGAATGGAAGAGGAAAATGGAGAATCTCAAAGAAGCTCTCAAGAACATGCTACATTTTATCCAAAATCGTATTCTGCTTGAAATTAGGCATCTGTATCATATCTGTACAGTACAGGTTATTTGGGTGATATTAGAGATTTTTTTTTAAAATAAGTATCAGTCAATATCATATTTATTTCCTTTATTTTTAAATTTAGTTTACTTTTGTTGTCATCTAAAGGCCCGTTCACACCAAGAATGCTAACTGTAACGATAACTATATTAGCGTCCACTAGGGCTGCACGATATATCGAAATTATCGAAATGTCGCAAATGTAAATATCGCAATGGCGAGCAATATCTGAATCATTTTAATAATAGGCTACTTAAATCAAAACGTTGCAAAAGGTCAAAGTTTTAGTTCGATGCATATAGCAGAGAATTGCTTGACGTTAAAAAGAGTTAAGTGCAATAAGTTGCAGAAAACAACTCTGCCGTCTAGTCTTGCTGTCTGACTGACTCACACCTGAAGCGTGCGTACAAGCCGCATCTCGTACAGCGTATCTTCAATTCTGCCACACAGAGAGACGCGTTTCAGACGGCGCGTGAACGCAGAGTTGATTCGTCTTTCGCATCTCCTTATGTTTGAACAGACACACTTTTTTTACTGACTGTTCACTTGCTTAATCATGTTTGAACTTTCTCAGACTATAGTTTTTGCTGTGGTATATGAAGAAGTACTTAAAGTGTATGGAAAGCAAAGTTACAATGATATAAAATTAGTGTCATTAATTTTTTTTGTTTGTATGTTCACACTGATGTTAAAATGACATTTTCTGATTTGTGACATTACTTTTTATGTAATGCTAAAACACTGCTGGTCACTTTCAGAAGTTGTAGTGATTCTTTCTTTTCCAAGAAAGAATGTGAGACAAATTGGTTATATAATTTTCATTTTTAAATATTTTAAAATATAATTGAAATTGATTTTACACACTTTAAGCAATATAGTATCGCATATCGAATTTTCGCATTTTTCTTCAATATCGCACAGCCCTAGCGTCCACACCAGCAGACGATATCGTCTGCGCACGCTTGTCTGCCGCTTTAAATTCTCAAGCTCGTTATAGCAGGATTGATTCTGATTGGCTGTCAATGTTTTTATCTTCATCCGCTGGAAAAAATTGAAAAGTTGAAAGTGATTCCAACGATATAATTTCTCTGTGCCTTTATCGTTATATCTGTGGTGTGGACTCTGCCATTCTTTAATATTAAGAACGATTTTTAGAACTAGATCTTTATCGTTATATTTATAGTTATCATTCTTGGTGTGAACAGGCCTTAATGCTCACTTAAAATTAATATTTAAAAACAATAATACTTTAATACCACTAGTAAATATAACCTTTAGCAAAAGTAAAACATTGTATCAATTTTTTAATACTGTAAATTATAATGATGTTATGCCTAAACTCACTTGTAGCATTTAATGTGACTGATTTTAGTTTTTTTGTGTTTATATTTCTCTAGACAAAATATTATATGTAATAACTATTTTAGTATTTAATAATCTTTTTACAATAAATAAATAATTTATTTTACTTATACAATTTGTGCTGTTAATTTTTTGTTGCAATTTAGTGGTGAAATATGACCCAGACATGTAATCGTGAGATTCACCTATGAAAGATTCACAAGTTGGCTGAAGTCAGTAGAGAGGCAGTGTATGAATGAGTGACCTCTGACCTTGAGCGTCTCCAGCTCACTCTCCAGTTGTTTAGAGTAGACTTCACTGTGCTCTCGGAGCTTACGCTCCTTAGAGGCTTCGGCACGCGCATCCTCCAGCTTAGACTCCAGCTATTACACACACACACACACACACACATAAGAAAAACAATAAATATGGGAAAAAAAAACTAGGATTTGTATAGACATACTCATAAACCCTTCAAACTTGACCTAATTTCAACTGCACACACCCCCTTGAGATGCTATGTCTTTGAGCACTAAAAAGATCCTGACATCAAGAACAACAATTTCGTTCGCCCCAAGACACTTCCGCCTTGTGCATGGGAGAAAAAGAAAAGACACATAAAAGAGAAGAGCGTATAAATGGGGGAGGTTCTCAATCCAGCTGTAGTCAGCACTGCGGTCAGTGTCACCCATCTGGTTCGAGTTAGTCACTGAGGTTCAGAGGAGGTCATGGGGTCCGTGAGGCTGGTCTGCAGGGACGGGAGGGGGCGGGAACGGGTGTGAAGACATTCCTGCTGTCGTCTAGGGAGATTTGGAGCTGTTGAGCCTGTCTCTCTCTGGAGCGTGACTGATGAACTTCAAAAATGTGGCGCATTCCAAGGCCTTGTTTTCATCTGACTGTGCCCTCCGTCAGCCCCGGAGGTGTTAACATGATGATGCTGAGCAATAAAGACTGCACGGCACAGGTTCGGAATACCAGGATGACACATGCAGCGTAAATACGTCTTCCTGATTGAAAGCCCCTGACAATTCATCTCCATTTACTTTAAAAACAGATCCAAAACAGTCTTAACATTACAAGATGGGGCCGCGTGACCCCCTTCAATCATGCTGCTCACCTCCTTGCGGGCCTTCTCGGTTTTGCGGATGTCCTGGCGTATGGTGTCGATCTTCTGCATCACCACCTCCATCTCCTCCTCCTTGTCCCGCAGCTGTCTCGACAGACGCTGTTTCTGTGAGCGCAGCTCGGCCATGCGCTCGTTCAGCTCCGAAAACTCCTGCATGGCCAGCTTCCTCTGCTGGTGGGCGTCCTTCAGCTCCTTGGTCTGAGACTTCAGGCGATCCAGAGACTCCACCAGTTGCTGGAAAGGGAGAGCAAGAGAAATGAATGATGAACTGGGATGAAGGGGTGAGATCAGAACACCAGAAGATGTGAAAACGATAGCACTGAAAGAGTGTGCGAGAGGAGCAGTGGAAGGAGAGAAGGAAAGAGCAGCTGCGCCTGGAGAGAAAGGACTGAAAAGAGGCTGAGTGAGAAATAGAAATCATCAAGAGGATTGGGAGTTGTGCGCTAAAAGAACGGGACACACGCTCGTAAGGAGAAATTAACACAGACTGAAAACAGGCTGGAATGGTTCTCATATCCCAGCCATGAAGAGCTTCGGCGGGTACGAGCCAACCCAGGGCTCTGGGTCAAAAGTCAAGTGGAACGGCTTAAACTCGATTAGCTAAAAATGTGAAACGCGGTGAGAATCTTGACCTGCCCTGTGTGAGGGGGTGATGACATTAATCTTGATGAAGCGGGCCAGTGTTTATGAACTTCTTGAAGAGGTCATGTAACCTTCAGCTCGAGGACAGGAGAACTGTCACAGCATGTAATCCGTTTCATGCACAGTATATGACGACACTCATTCTTAAGGTGTTCAAGGGATTTTTACATCTCAGTATTTTACATCTCAGTAGAACAGCAGAGTTGCTGTTCAGTTCAGTTTTTTTTATAATTTATTTTAATGAGTTAAAACCATACAGCATGTTCTTTTTAGTGAATCAAACAAATAAAAAGCTTGCAATTTACTGTCCTGAGTTATTTAAATTTAAGACGAACTGCAGGTTACAGCAGATATTTTCTTTCTTATGGTGACCTACACCTACGTGTAGCAGAATATTGACAAAGAAAAAACGTAGGGTATATATCTATTGGTTATTAATTGGATTTTAAGAGGGTGTATAAAATTTCAAAATATTTGTTTCTCAACATACAAAAAGAATCATTAATGGAACGTTTAGGACTCGTTAGGCAACTGGAATCGTAAAAAGCAACCAGATAGACCTTCTAATTGCCATCCAGGAAGGAATCTGATCAAATGTTTATGGGGCTGAATTTTGTGGGCATAATTTCTCTTACTACAAGAAAGCAGTTCTTGCATACAGGAATGGCTGGTAATTCAACTCTCCAGTCACTCATACCTTATGGATATCCTCTTTCTCCTGCTTGAGAGCTTTAACTTGCTTGTCCAGGGCTTTTAGTTTGCTGGAGGAACTTTCAAAGTCCTGTCGAAGAGTCACTGCCTCCTCGAGCTGGTGCTCCAGCCTATCAGAGTCTGGGGAGGGACGAGTCACTCAGAGTTAGCTTGAATGTGACTGATTAGCTGACACAAATGTCCAGCCAAATAAGCAAAGTAGGAAATTCTGATAAGAGGAAGTTATGTTGACTTGCAATCTTCACACAAAGACTTATGTGTGATCGTAGTTAATCTATAACTTAGGCGTGTCTGTAGTGCTTTGACATGACTCATAACAGACTTTATCATATCATATATCCACTGGCAATGATTGGGAGACCCATTACCTGCCAGTTTCTTTTTTAGGCGATCGATTTCCTCATTGAGTTTTTTAATCTCTTTATCACGACCAAGCGTGCCGGCCCCACGCCCAGAGCCATGGAGGGACTGAACAGCCTGAGTGGATTCTAGGAAATCATGTGTGGAACAAACAATCAGTAAATACCCAGAATACATTTCACTGATGGACTTACAAAATGAAACAGAACTACTAACACTAAATAAATTGTATAGCAATGGCTTAAAGTGATAATTCACCCAAAAATGAAAATTCTGCCATCATTTACTCACCCTTGTGTTGTTTCAGAGCCACAAGTCTTTTGTTCATTTTTAAAACACAAATGGAGATATTTTAATGAAACCAGAGAGGTTTTATGTTGCTCCATTGAAACCCCATTTTACCAAAATTTTTTATAAATTTTGTACCAAAAAAGTTCATAAAGAGATTGAAAAAGTAAAGTACGGTGTAATCAGAGTCTTATGAAGAGACACCTTCACTTTATAAGAGGAACAAATTAATTTAGGCTTTTATTCACATGTGCTCAATTCATATGGAATACATTTACAATGTTTTTATGAACTTTTTGATGTTTTGGTGGAATGGACTTGCAATGAAGGGACAGAAATCTCTTAGGTTTCATTAAAAACATCTTCATTGTGTTTCAAAGATGAACAAAAGTCTTCTGGGTTTGAATGACATGAGGGTGAGTAATTGAAGACAATTAAAATTTTTGGGTGAACCAACGCCTTTCAGAGCCACAAGTCTTTTGTTCATTTTTAAAACACAAATGGAGATATTTTAATGAAACCAGAGAGGTTTTATGTTGCTCCATTGAAACCCCATTTTACCAAAAATTTTTATAAATTTTGTACCAAAAAAGTTCATAAAGAGATTGAAAAAGTAAAGTACGGTGTAATCAGAGTCTTATGAAGAGACACCTTCACTTTATAAGAGGAACAAATTAATTTAGGCTTTTATTCACATGTGCTCAATTCATATGGAATACATTTACAATGTTTTTATGAACTTTTTGATGTTTTGGTGGAATGGACTTGCAATGAAGGGACAGAAATCTCTTAGGTTTCATTAAAAACATCTTCATTGTGTTTCAAAGATGAACAAAAGTCTTCTGGGTTTGAATGACATGAGGGTGAGTAATTGAAGACAATAAAAATTTTTGGGTGAACCAACGCTTTAAACGCTTTCTTTGGATATCAGGTGGAGTTTATGTTTATTACCCTGCAGCTTGCGGTTGAGCTCCTGTTTCTCCTGCTCCAGACAGCGAATCCTCTTCTCGAAGGCTTCCACCGGCAGACCTCCATCCTGGAGATCCTCCCCAGCACCTCCATCCGCCAGCGCCACCCTCCTCACGCTGCCACGGTCTGAGAAACAGCTCTCTGTGGTGTAGGTGAAGCCCACGAAGGGCAAGTGCTGCCCGGTGAAACCCGTGTGAGATACTGGGGGAGCGATGTCCTGCAGAGGGAAATGGAAGAAGTCAGAGGTCAAATACAAACAAAAGGGCACTCTAGTATAATCAAGGTTTCAGACTTATGTTGCATGAGGAACCAAAACAATTCCTTCAATGATAAAAGCATTTCAGAGTTAAACCAACCGGGTTTTTTAGCACATCATCATCTACATCAAAGTTGGAGGTGTCTGAGGGTGAGCTGACGTCAGGGATGTACGGTGCCTCTGTGTTGCGAATGTTCTCCCAGTCGATGCCGGAGAAGAAGGGGTGCTTCTTGAACTCCTCGATGCCATGCTGACCCAACCGACGCTCTCTACTGCAGATCAGCCGCTGGATCAGATCTTTAGCCTCCTCTGACATATCCGTGATGTGAGAGGGGAACTGGAACCGCTCCTAAATAGCACAAATTAGACCAGTTTACTTCAAACATCAATATTTCCAGATTTTCCACCCTAAACCACCACTCAGGGGTGACCAGCTGTGCCGATAAAATTAGGGCAGTGCTGATTTTATGAACCATGTTGTGATGTGTCCCAAAGACGTTAGAGCCGGGATGTTATTTGTCATGATAATTAGCTTAGGCTTTATTTTTACTGGCTATAAATAAAAAATGTTTAATAAAAACTGATAATAGCATGATAATTAGCTTAGGCCTTATTTTTACTGGCTATAAATAAAAACTGATTCACTGTGGTTCGTGCTTTTTCTGTCATGAGAAATTTCTAAATCCTCAAGACGCAAATGTGTGATTGCAAATGTGACTGTCTGTTTTTCTGTGGTGGGGAACATGTAAATTGGACAAATACCAAAAAACTTGGGAAACGCAGATCTGATACTCGGCTCTGACACTGTCATTTTCTGCCGGATCAGGTATCGGTCAGACGATACCGATCCAAATCTGATATTGTGCGTATACTATTCTGTGTTATTACACGGCTCTGTAGAATACTTGATTCTGATTGGTCAGTCCTGACATTCCGAGGTATGTTATCCCTCGATAACAACTGGTGAAAGCTGATAACACAGGCTCAATTATTTAATTGTACAATGTGTACAATTATTTAATTACGTCATCCTGGTACTCGCTCTCTTGTTTCATACAAACACAGCTGCTGTCATTTTGTGATGACTGTTTTGTACACTGTAATGAATTATAGGAACTAACAAGAACTAATAATAACTAACATACTGGTAAGACTTAAACAGGTTTGTCTTAAATCAATAGCTTTTATCACCTTAATTATTTATGTGGTGAAATGTTGTGTAATAAGTGGTATGACAGCACCGCATCCCTTCAATGTCTAGCAACTGCTTTCTTCACGGAAGCTTTGCGTTCAAATGTTTCAACTCAAATCAATATTTTGTGTCTACTTATTTACTTATGTGGCAAGTAGTCGTGTAATAAGCAGGATAATGTACATTCGGAGGGGTCTTATCACCCTGAAGGGGGTTATTCTGCGATAACAATCGGCTGGATGTACGTGTACGTTTTCGTGCACTATATTCCAAGTGTTCTGAAGTCGTTCCATAGTTTTATGTGAAGTACAGATGAATATTTAAGTTGTTAAATACAATTTCACTTAAACTCTACTCTCCACTGCGGCTGACTGTCATACTCCATTCAGCATTCAAACTGCATGTCGCGTTCAGTTACGAAAGTCAAGATGTTGAAACTGTCCAAGATTATTCAATGTAACTATTTTTATAAATGATCTGTGGATAAAGATCAATATTTTGCAATGACTTTATCTTGCTGGAGTTTAGTGCTGTTTCTAAATCATGTTACTTTCTACCAGGTGTCTGTTAGATCACAACACTGGAGTAGAGAGCCCTATCACACAGACATAATACATTACGCATCAATATCTCTCTCTGTGCTTTGAACTTTTCTACGAGGAGTGCTGCGCGCTGTGAATCAACTCAAAAAAAAAAAAGGTATCGGTGCATCCCTACAAAAAACACATTGATGAAGCATCTCACCTCGTGGTTCATGATCTTCCCGTATGTCTCCACCAAGGATTCAGCATAGAAGGGTGTCTCGCCGTAGAGCATCTCATACATGCAGACGCCAAGAGACCACCAGTCACACTCCGGCCCGTACTTCCCCATGCCGTCCTCCATGGCCTGCAGGATCTCAGGGGAGATGTAGTCCGGGGTGCCCACAGCCACTGATGACCGGACCTGCACAGGGGATGACAGGAAGTGAGGTCACAAACAAGGCTGAATAGGTTCATCTGCAATTTAATAATTTCAATTTTCAATTTTCAGCAAAGATGCATTAAATTGATCAAAAGTGACAGGAATGATTTCTATGATGTTATAAGATTTATTTCAAATAAATGCTGTTCTTTTGAACTTTCAATTCAAAGAATCTTGGGAGGGGGAAATCATGGTTTACACACAAATATTAAGCAGCATAACTGTTTTTAACATTGATCAAATGATCTCACCTCGTGGTTCATGATCTTCCCGTAGGTCTCCACCAAGGATTCAGCATAGAAGGGCGTCTCGCCGTAGAGCATCTCATACATGCAGACGCCAAGAGACCACCAGTCACACTCCGGCCCGTACTTCCCCATGCCGTCCTCCATGGCCTGCAGGATCTCAGGGGAGATGTAGTCCGGGGTGCCCACAGCCACTGATGACCGGACCTGCACAGGGGATGACAGGAAGTGAGGTCACAAACAAGGCTGAATAGGTTCATCTGCAATTTAATAATTTCAATTTTCAATTTTCAGCAAAGATGCATTAAATTGATCAAAAGTGACAGGAATGATTTCTATGATGTTATAAGATTTATTTCAAATAAATGCTGTTCTTTTGAACTTTCAATTCAAAGAATCTTGGGAGGGGGAAATCATGGTTTACACACAAATATTAAGCAGCATAACTGTTTTTAACATTGATCAAATGTTTGCAATGTATGCAAACCAGCATACTAGAATGATTTCTGAAGGTTCATGTGATACTAAAGACTCGAGTAATGGCTGAAAATTTAGCTTTGCCACCACAGAGATAAATTACATTTTAAAATATAAAATAAAGTAGAAAACAGTTATTTCAAATTAAGATTTCACAATATGGCTATTTTACTGTATTTATGATCAAATAAATGAAGTCTAGGTGAGCATAAGTGGCTTCTTTCAAAAACATTACAAAAAATAAAACATACAAAATACAATTTAAAACCTCACAGACCCCAAACTTCTGCAAAGTAATGTACTTTAAATGTGTGACAACATATATAAACTAATTAACCAGCAGTGCACAACAACACTACTATAAAGATCTAGAGACATAATATTCACCATGCCAAGTCTTGCTCGATCTTGCCCATAAAACATGTACCATACAAAAGCACTCAAAATATGTCTTGACCCTTCGGCTTAGCTTTGCCACCACAGAGATAAATTACATTTTAAAATATAAAATAAAGTAGAAAACAGTTATTTCAAATTAAGATTTCACAATATGGCTATTTTACTGTATTTATGATCAAATAAATTAAGTCTAGGTGAGCATAAGTGGCTTCTTTCAAAAACATTACAAAAAATAAAACATACAAAATACAATTTAAAACCTCACAGACCCCAAACTTCTGCAAAGTAATGTACTTTAAATGTGTGACAACATATATAAACTAATTAACCAGCAGTGCACAACAACACTACTATAAAGATCTAGAGACATAATATTCACCATGCCAAGTCTTGCTCGATCTTGCCCATAAAACATGTACCATACAAAAGCACTCAAAATATGTCTTGACCCTTCGGTTATTTTGGCAGAATGTTTAATTGCAGAGAAGACGTAAAGAGATAACTGAAGATAAGTTTGAATGATGTTGAGAGACGCATAAAGATGCCTTCAAGCAACATTACAGACAGCATGACAGACACAAATTAGGGCTTTGTGGCTTTTACTTTAATGTTTGCAAAAACATATCTATATATAAGTCTGCCAATAAACAGACAAAATGTACTTTTACCAGGTACAATAATACTTATACTAATATTTATTACAACACAACATTTATTTAGAATTTCTTCATTTTTACCTTAAACTATCAAGCTTTCATTTCCTGCTGAAAACTGCTGGGAGCCTTTAAAGCTTCTCTTATGCTAAAAACGGCTGGTTTATAAGCACTCCTCAAGTTCTCATTACAAGATGATGCATTTTCAAACGCATGTTATAAGCGCATCAAACGTACAGCACATGCAGAAATAAGATTGTGTGGAGCAATATTAAATGTGAACGGTTCACAATTTTGGTCTTATTTCAAATAATCACACAAAGATCTCCTGTACTCGACATCTAAATATAGGAGTAACATCTACAAAAATGCAGGGATCTGTTCAGTTGGTGTGGAACACAGGGGCTAGTTGCATAAACACAGCCGCTATGTTAAGACTGTGTCTTAAGAACTAGTTTGACCAACTAGTAGCAAGCCAAGAGGTAATCAGATCTACTTTTTGGATTCAAATTAGACCTCCTTTTTTATAGCTGACTTTATAAAAGTTCTGACCAGCCTTAAAGAAAAAAAAATTAGATGACTATCTTTTTAAGACTAGTCTAAGCAGTTTATGCAACCGTCCACAGCACATATGCAGCTGAAAAACTAAAGCTTCGCTTTTCCCTTTTACTGTACATGCTGCTGGCACAGAGGACACACACAGACACACACACAGAGCAGTAGATAAAAGCTGTTTTGGCCTTGGTCTTGTTATCAGTGTGCTATGGTGACTCATTAGTCTGTGAGACAGAGGGGTGGGCAGCGACGGGCCTTTCTAATTAGCCCTCCCCTTCTAGGCCAGCAGGGCCAAAAGCAGCTCTATTAATGTCAGGAGAGGAGAGGACAGGGGCAGTGCTTTCACCCAACAGATGGAGACCACCCTGCAAGGATGACAGACGGACTCTGGTTTTAGATCGACACTTGAGTTTGAAATTGAGCCCTTCATCACATACTCACCGTGCCATCTTGCATCATCTTCAGGCAGGAGCCGAAGTCAGCCAGACGGATGTGACCGTTCATGTCCAGTAGCACGTTGTCTGGTTTTATGTCCCTGTGAGAACAGGAAACACAACATTTAAGCATGAAATGACTCCAGAGGAGCTTTAAAAAGCAGTGGTTCTTAACCAGCTTTGCTTCAGGACTTCAGGATTTTACATTGGACATCAAGTGATGAACCAAATCCAAATCGTTTAGCATTAAAAAAAAAGTCAACAAAAATAAAAGATTGGTAACTATTAATATTAAAACGAACTGCATTGGCCCTATAATACGTAAAATTATTAACCTCACTTATAATGACCAGGAAAATCGTCAATTTTGGTTTCTAAACGCCTCTTAAAATTCAGTGGTTTCATACTCTCAGTAGTTGCACAAACACAATGTGGTCAGCGGAAACCATGTTTATCTTCATTGCATGTTAACTTGTATTTAATGAAGTCTCTAGGTCGTGTCATTTTTCTTCTAAACCATCTGTAGTTTTGGTTTTGGAGGATGAGGGTATATTATGCATCCTGTCAAGGTTGGCATCCGGCTTATTTGCCTAGATTATATTTAATGGCTGATGAATCTGCTCAAAAATAATGGGCATCACTTTACAATAAGGTTTCATTTGTTAACTTTGTTCATTTGTTTGTAATTTCAACTAATACATTTAAAATAAATTAAACATGTTGTTAACAATTGTTAATATGCTGTGAACAAACGATGAAAAACTGTATTTTATTAACTAACATTAACAAAGACTAATACATTCTAAGAAATATGTACACTATCGTTCAATAGTCTGGGGTCGGGTAGATTTTATTTTTTTGAATGAAGTCACCCAGGCTGCATTTATTGGATCAAAAATACAGTGAAAAATTGTGAAATATTATAACAATTCCAAAGAACTGTTTTCTATTTTAATGTATTTTAAAATGTAATTTATTCCTGTGATGGCACAGCTGAATTTTCAGCTGTCTTCAGTCTTTAGTGTCACAAGATCTTAAAGAAATCATTCTAATATGCTGATTTGTGCTCAAGAAATATTTCTTATTTATAATCAGTGTTGTGCTGCTTAATATATGTGGAAATTACTATATCGTTTTTTTAACATTACTTTAATGTATTAATTACTGTATTTAAATGAATTAATTTCTTTGAAAGAAAAAATACAAATCTTACTGAACCCAAACTTTTGACCGGTAGTTTAGATATCATTAGTTCATGTTAGCTAATGCAAGCATTTTGCACTCACATTGCACTGTGAGGTATTACTACTCCAGTGGGCAACCCACTCTGCGGCTGCTCTCCAGGGTGGCTGTTTCTCCATGCCCAGCCATGCCCTGCCTTTGTTCACCCTCCCCCCTTCACACACACTCAGTCCCTGTCTCTCGACGACTGGGCCTCACACACAGTGCCCTCTGATTCACAGCCCTGGCACCATGGTGAGCACAGCGGGTACAGAGTAAACATGATGTCAAAACTCATCACACACACACACACACACACACACACACCATTCACAACCTCACTGGGTGTCAGTATAAGCACGAAGGGTTGTACTCTTGGACACGTGTGTTTACGAGCGCTAGCATGACTTTAGTCAGCTGCTTTGGCCTGACAGGCTGGTTCCTATAATTGAGAATGATGGGATGTGTTTAAAAGGCTGTTATGATTGGTTGGAGGAATAGAGTTAAAGGCATAGTTCATTAATTCACCCTCACGTCAATACAAACCGGTATGACTTGTTTTTGTCAATGAGACACAAAAACAGACATTTGAAGAAAGTTAACGCTGCCCTTTTCCAAAAAATGAAAGCTGAAGGGAACTGATGTTACAAAAAACATAATAGAAGTAGTGCATTTTTAGTAGTAAAATCAAATTTTTAGTTTAATTAATGCACTTTAATCTAAATCTTCTGAAGCAATATGATAGTTTTGTGAGAGAAAGAGGCTGAAATCTAGGTTATTCGCTAAAAATATTGCTTGACAACAGTAGCCGTTCATATTCATTGTATGGAAAAGACCAGCGTGAATTTTCTTGCTAAGGTCACACAATTTGGGTGAAAAAAAAAAACCTAATAGCGATTTTTTTTTGTTAAAATTTGATATCAATATGACTATAAAGTATATTTATATGACTTTAAATATTATTATTATAATAAAAAAAATATTACACAAAATAAGAAATATTCCTATTGTAATTTAACTGTAAAATAAAAAAAAAATCTATCTTACAATAAAATACAGTAAAACTGGAGTGTCTTAATTTCCTTAATGTTCAAACAGAAGATCCATTGAGCTTTTATTGGCAGATGTTGCATTTCCAAAGTTATATGTAACCCAAAATCTGAGCAAATGCAGAGCTTGTTTGGAGCAGCATTTACTGTGAAACGTGGTGCTTGGAAACACTAAAAACACCAGATCATGTGCTGCTTGTGTGTAAAAGTGCTGCGCTTCACTCTAAAGCAGTGCATGTATTCATTTAATTAAATCATAGCTTTTGTAGTTCCATAAACACACTAAGCAATATCACTGTTACAGTCTTATTTTGATTCATCCAGTGCTTACATTCGGCTAAACATTTCCTTATGGGTTGTATATAATGTGAGGGAGAGTAAATGTTCAGTTTTTTTGGTAAATTACCTCTTTAACGTCGCTACTGTATCAGAGGTGAAGCCTTCACAAGCTTCCACAGAAGGAAGGAAGAGGGTGCTCAGCTGGACCGGATGGCAGTCCAGGACAAGCAGCCAGGAAGAGGCCCCTGAACCTGAACAGATCTGCAGCCCAGAACACCACAGCCATCTGCGGCCATTTCATTAAATGTTTCATGTGGGAGTGGACATGTGGGTGAGGTGCTGTTGATGTCCAGTGCACCCATCACTCACACAGGGGTAATGACCAATCCGCCTTGCTTGTGAGTACATGTTCAAACACTGGGGCAGAATCCTACATTGGGCAAATTTAGTTTGGGCATATTGTTTTGTCTGGATCCAGTCTTGTGTAAAAAAAACCTGACTATCAGCGCACATCACTGCTTATTCTGGCTAAAAACGGCCCACTTCAACAGAAAGGGGTTATCTGATATTTAAAGTGACCAACCACAGTTTGCTTTTTACAGACTTTTAGGGAATGGTAAATCAAAAACTTGTACATAAAGTGGGGAAAATATTTATTTGATCCCCTGCTGATTTTGTAAGTTTGCCCACTTACAAAGAAATTAAGTGTCTGTAATTTTTATGGTAGGTTTGTTTTAATGTATAGAGACAGAACACCAACCAAAAAAATCCAGAAAATACACATTATATAAAGGATAGAAACTGATTTGCATTTCAGTGAGTGAAATAAGTATATATTTCAAAATATATTTGATCCCCTACCAACTAGCAAGAATTCTGACTCCCACAGATTGGAACACAGATTAGTCCTGCCACTTTAAGAAGTCACTCCTAATGTCAGCTCGTTTGGTGTATAAAAGACACCTGTCCACACAACTCCTAGAACAAAGCAAAACCTTGCTGAGAAGACCAGCATGAATGCCCAGGATTATATCCTAGTATACCAACTCCTAGGTCATGGGTTTGATTCCCTGGGAATGCATGAGCTGATAAAAAAAAATGTATACCTTCAATGCAATGCAATGCAAGTCACTTTGAGTAAAAGCATCTGCTAAATGCATAAATGTAAATGTCTGGGCTGGTTTAGGCTGGTTTGGTGCCGGCCTACCAGCATGATCTTTGTGGTAAACTTTTTGGCTAAGAAATTCCTGCTGGTTAAAGCTAATTAAGAATCAAGTCTGCGTCTGATTCTCACTTGGTCTTTAATTCTCCCTTCACACACACAAACACACTATCATGTCACCTGTGTACGTAGCGTTGCTGATGGATGGAGTGGATAGCGAGCACCATCTCTGCCACATAGAACTTGGCCATGTCCTCCGGGAGTCGGTCCTCAAATTTACTAAGCAAAGTCAGCAGGTCGCCTCCCACATAATAATCCATCACCAAGTACTGCAGGAGGAGACAATATCATCTCTTATCACACAACACCATTCAATTACACAATCACTGACTCAGCACTTCATAATATCAACTGAACAACATCAAAGAGTAGAATGATTATCAAATATTTATCACACAACCACACAGAATGCACTGTGACCTCTCCTCCAGTACTCTGTATTAGTGTGATTGAGGGTTGTGCTATCAGAGGTTGCGCTACAAATAATCATCATCAGTCACTCTGATAAACATGACATTTTCATTGTGGCCAATTTTTCAATGCATCATTTTCATAGATAATTATTGAAACATTATATAATTAATTACATATTATTTACATTAACTATATATGGCTTAGAGATTTTATCTAGCTTGCTTACCTTAAATACACCAAAAATAGACGTTATTTATGCATTCAGAGTGTTGTTATTGTTAACTAAAACTAAAACTATTCAAAATTCGTTAATTGAAATAAAGATAAAAAATATATAAATATTAAATCAAAAACTAGGAAAAATTTCTAATTATTGTTTAAAATATTTACATGGCTAAAACTGAAATAAGATTAAATGAAAGCTAAATAGAATTAATAATAATAATAATAATATTGATAAATGAGAAAAGCATGTAAATTCACAAACTTAAACTAAAATTTTAATTAAAATGAAAAATAAAATAATAATAATAAAGCTAACATAAAAATAAGAGCAAGGCAAGTTAACGCGTTATCATCACGTTAACGCATTAATTAACACCAACAATTATTTTATCGCACATTAACGCAGTTTTTATTATTATTATTTTGAAAGTCCATTGCTCACTGGCTCGGAATACACATACAGACAAACCATGGGTCACAGGAGGGGTGGGATGTTGATCAGTACTGGTTTGGGATGGGCGTCATCATGCGTCTCAACCAATGAAAGCATTTGGGGTGGGCCTAACACCATGTCTACACCAGACGTGAGCGGCGCTACAAAATACTATATAACCCATTATAATCAGTGATGCTGTCTACACTGGATGCGGCGCTACGCAAATCCGACAGTAAACTGCTGCCTCGTTCTATCTATGACATACTGACACAATTTAAATGATTTGCAACGGTCGCTTTGTCGTGTGACGCGTCCAGTCATTGTAGACGATGTTGCGGCGTGGTGCGACAACTGTCGCATGTGTATAGGATCGCAACGAATGACGGCACGCATGATTTGTCGTATCGCGCCGCATCCAGTGTAGACAGCATAACTGATTATAATGGGTTCTATAGTATTTTATTGCGTTGCACCACACGCGTCCGGTGTAGACATGGTGTCAAGACGCAGCATCACAAGAATACACAAATTATATGAAAAAGAATTGATTACATTAATGTAAAATCATTTTTGTTCATACAGCATTACTTTTAAAATAAAAGTGCACAATACAATACTGTTGAATTAATTATTGAATTTTGCGCATAATGCGATTAATCACAGAAAAATCATGCAATTAATCGCAATTAAAAATGGTAATAGTTGCCCAGCACTAATAAAAATACAATATTAAGAAATATTACTATAGCATATGAATACTACTAAAAAAACACAATTACTGCTAATAATTTAGATTATGATTTATATAATGTTCGAGATGTGTAGGTCTAAATGGATTTTGACTCACTAAATGACAGCTAACCTTCAGTTACGTCTGATGAGCATAAGTGTATGTAGGGATGAAGACACATACCAGGTAGTTGTCATCCTGGAAAGCGTAATGCAGAGTGGTGATCCACTGGCAGTCTCCATTCACCAGGACGTTCCTCTCTTCTCGGAAACAAGCCGTCTACATAAGATGCAAGACGACTTATTACATCAAACCATTCAAAAACAATATTTTGTTATATCCTACACTGTGCTTTGACAACCTTATAAAATAACATTGACACAGCAACCCAGTACCTGAATTTGAAAGCGGATTCCTCTATTTTGGTTTAATACTGAAGAGCTTTGAGTTTCTGTGTGTCTAGGCTTTTTTTATTTTTTACTATGTCCCTCATTTTCAATTAATTGTGGAGCCATAGTTTTTAGAGATCCAGAATGAATGGGTAACTCATACAATAAATTAAACTGCATCCACCTGCAGTGATGATGTACATGGCTTTCCCATTTCAGATGTTAGTCTTAGATCTTATATCTGTTTGAATTGGGACTCTAGACAAGTGAGGAGGAATAAAAAGAACCCAGTGAAGCTCAAAGAGGATTACTGACAAGCCCACGTGACAAAAGTACTCCTGACTTGCCTCTGGGAGGCCCTTGGGCACTGTCAGGACTGATCGGGCTGAAACTGGGGCAAGAAAGATATAGAGTAGAAAGGAAAATGACCTTGCACTCCTATAGATTTCAGTAGAGAGGGTTTGATTGCAGTCATCGAGCTATTAGGAAGAGGCTTGGTACTGGCTATATGTAAGATATGGGAATATGCTACGGAGACCTAATGGAAAGACCAAGACTAGCAACTCTGGGGTCACTGGTTCTTACAAACAATATGTCTTTAGTTGCCAAATTACAGAATTCATTAAACTCATTCATTGAACTCATTAAAAAGAACCTGTTCATAAGAGTCATTTGTTTGTGATTCATGGCTGACACACTGACACATTTGCATTCATCTGATGAAACCATATATAAATGCATATAAAATTCATATTTTTGCTGGCAGCTACTTTTTAAAATGTTAGATTTATTTTCAGCACCATTTTAGCTGCAGCCTGAAGCCCTGAAAAATGTAGCATATGATAATGAGCCATGAACAGAAATCGGTTTACCTCGGCCCTCTTCAGCATTTCCCACTTGTTCAGGATCTTCATGGCGTAAACACGCTCGGTGTGTTTCATCTTCACCACTGCAACCTAGACAGATGAGATGAGGAGTTAGCCAATGCATACAAACAACATTAAAAGTCAGCATGATTTAGAGGCTGTGTAGGGAATTTGACCATTTTTATTTTCCTCATTTATTCATCGCATGCTCTTGTGGCCCACTTAAATTGAAACCTCACAGGGAAAGAAATTCTCTGAATGAGATGCTTTTGATCTCTGATGCCTCTGAAAATCAGAAAAAGGAAAAGCTGAGACTTAAGACTGCTGACTTTTGCCTAAAAAGGGAGATGACACTGAAGAACCGGTTCATTTAGGCCATATGACTGTAGAGCATCAAAAAATGTCAAGGATGACTGAGGTCTTCCCTGCAGGGGGAGTGACTCAATATTAGGAAAGGGACAGGTTGGAAAGGTGTGTCTTGTTGGATGTTATTCATGTGGGGTGGGGACAGCAAACACCCTGTCTAAAGAAAGACACACCAGTCAGGGAGGAGACGTATGAATGCAGACATAATGCAGTGAGGGACTGTGATATTAGTAACTGACATAAGAAAATAACATAAGATAACTTGTTACCAAGGATCCAAAACCAAACAGACAGGAGCAGTTCATAACGTTTAATGAAACTCTTTTAAAATAATTAGCAATGTATGTTAGGCTCATGACTCAAAGGAACAGTTCACTCAAAAATGAATTGTACTTTTTTTTTTTTTTTAATCACAAACCCATATTACTTTATTTTGTACTTGGAAGACAAAAGAGAATATTTCAAGATTTTTTTTGCTCACAATACTTATTTCCACACACTGAATTGTAGTGCCTAAATTGCTGTTGTTTGTCCAAAAAATGACTCTCTATGACTCTCAATCCAGACTTAAAATGTTTTTGTCTCTTCTGTTTACCAAGGTTCAGTAATACTGTAAAAACAGTAATACTGTGAAAGATTAAAAATGTAAATAACTCTTTTCCATTTGAATATATTTTTAAATGTCATTTTAATAAGCTGAATTTTCAGCAGTCATTACGCCAGTCTCAGTTTCACATGATCTTTCAGAAATAATTGTATATGCGGATTTGATGCTTCTTATCATTAATGTTAAAAAGTTATTTTTTGTGGAAACTGAAATACGTTTGTTTTTAGGATTCTTCATTAATAGAAAGTTCAAAAGAACATAATTTCATTGAAATAGAAATCACCCACAACATAATAAAATGGCTTTACTGTCACTTTTGATCAATTTAATGCATTCTTGCTGAACAAAAGTATTATTTTCTTTAAAAAAAGAAGAAAAAAAATCCTTATTGACCCCAAACTTTTGAACAGTTGTGTACATATGCATGGACCAATTTTATTGAGATTTTTTTTTTTTTTATCCTTTGGGAAGTGTGGCATTCAGTACACAGAACAGAGCTGCATGAACATTCCTCGAAACATCTCCTTTTGAAGAAGTCACATGAGAACAGCATAAGAATAAGCTAATTTCTGTGGAAAATAAGCCTTTAAACAGAGCAGGAGCTGTTTGTGAATCTACAATATAAACATCTCTGTGAGATTTCATTGTTTCCCCTATGACTTTTAAACATAAAACTCTGTGCGTGACCAATGTTATTCTGCTATCTTCTGTCCACTGGCTACTTGTGACCGTCCAGACGGCTAATGTTAAGTGGAGTCATGAATTTCCCTGTACTTTGCCTTGCTGCTCGGGACACATCACATGATGTGTGTTTACCCTCAGTGGAGGAACAGTGCTCCCCCTCACGTGGACCCACACCCGCATACCTGCCCACAGCACAATGTGCTGCTTCAGCAAAGAACACAGTGCTAACTTTGCATACTAAGGGCAAATTATGAGCCCTGCTGCTGTTTTCTGCTTTTCGACCCCCTTTGGAGTGTGTTTGTGCATGAATCAAAGTATTTGAAAAGTCCACGTTGACAACAAACTCAAACAGAGGTTTAATCACACAAATGCTTCTTATATGTAAGGCTACTAACCGCAGCAGATAACTGACCTCATTACAAAAACAAACCGAACCCCGAGTGCTCAAAAACCCCCCAATTCCTCCTCCCTCTGTGTCTCCTGTCCTCTTTCCCTCTCCTTTTTTAGACACATGTTTCCACAAAGGCAGTCGGCTTGACCTGATTGAAAATGCTGGGGAGGTCCATGGAGAAGGAGAGGGAGCAGGTGACCAAAGTGGACACTGCAATGCGATTGTCACCAACACACTCGTGTCCAAAGGAGAGAACATGTACGTAAGCCATAAGGTCCTAGGGGATCAAAGGTCAGAGTTCACAGAGTGATTCTGATGTTCAGATCTATACAGTGTGGCGGGTGCTAAGCAACCGTGCAACCCTGAGGACAAGGAAGGGGTTGCATCACACTGAATATACAATGTAAAATTCAAAACTGGCTTTGGGCCTTAATTACGCAACAAGTGTGATAAGAACTCAGTAACACAAATTTGTAATATTGGTCCAGTTAGACGAGTAGTAGATTTTTTTACTTGCCACATTTTCACTTTCGCCCTTAACATTATTGGGGAAAAAAAGAAACTAGAAAAAAGAAAAAAAGAACCCATAAAATTAATAAAATAATTTTTAATATATAAATATACATATATTTGTTTTTTATTTTATTCTTATCTGCATGTTTTATTATATCATAAAAAGCTAAATAAAAATGAATTAAAATCAAATTTGCAAAAAATTATAAAATAAAAACAAAATAAAATAAAACGTTTGCTGAAAAACTATGGCATATGGTGCAGATCATCACTAAATGGATTTCTAATATTCATTCTATTATACCTGATAATTCCAAGATGGTCACAAGTTACTCTGGATAACTTTACTCTGAGTAATTTACCATGAGTAAAATTCATGAAACAATAACGTTCTAAATAAATGAATGAACAAAAATGAAAGACAAGTTAAATGTTAAAAATATGTGACCAATTAAAGACAATACTGCTGAAACAAGAGTGTAAATGATAAGGCAAGTGGCAGTCCTATGAATGAGACCAACACCCTCTCACACTGGTCCTGGGCCATCGGACCATCCCAATCAGTGCTGGCAGCCTTTGGATTCCATAGTATGGAAAAAATAAATACTACGGATGTCAATGGCTACCAGCATTTGTTTGCTTACCAACATTCTTAAAAATATAATCTTGTGTGCTCAACAGAAGAAAGAAACTCATACACACTTTGAACAACATTAGGGTGAGTAATCTATCCCTCTTTAGCCCTGTGAAAGCTGGAAAACACTGATCTAAACAGTCCCATGCCTTTAAATCCAAAAAAACATATTGCAAAATCAGTATCAGTAGGTTCTTTGAGATAAATTACAACATTCTTTTTGTTATATACCAGATTTGATTTTGGACAAGCCAACGTCAAATAATAACACTATTCAAGACGCTTCGGGGACATCAGAAGCCCTGAAATAAAACACTGAACTTCTGCCAGAGAAATTAATAAACTCTGTATTAGGACCAGCGTGTGGGTCTGTGAATCCATCTTCAGCCTGTAGTTGGCAAACAATCTTAATTATGTCAGTATACCTTCAGAGAACAGAAGCCACTGTCTTCTCTAAATCAATATGGAGGACAGGTTTTTAGTGTACTTTGACCTAAACATTCTCTACATCAGTGATTCACTGCACTCAATACGACAGATAATCAGCGCTCATCCTCAACACGTAGAGCTCTCACTCTGTAGCAGTCATTACTGGCGGTTTTGTCTGACCTGTAGTGACTCACTGTGACGTTATGTAAAAAATGTCTGCACCAGTCTAGTTCTCCTTGATTCCCCTCCCTGTTCCATGTTTTTCATTTTTGCTCTATTCAACAGAATAATTATTCAGAGTCTCAGGTGAGGCAAAAAGGAGTGCCATTTAAGTATGCGTCAACCACTAGACTCTACCACAAAAAGCTAGTCTTTCAAGGGACAGATCTGTCAAAAAAAAATGCGGTCATCAAATACACTCAATCAAATACACCTACAATGTTGTTACAAACCCAGATTACTTTCTTTTTCCAAAATGGACTGCCAATGTCCAAAAATGACAAAAAGTAGCATAAAAGTAGCTATATGACTTGAGAGCTTTATTTAAAGTCTCCTGAAATCATACATTATCATTTCACTTTGGCAAATTAAATCTTGTGTTGCTGATCATTTGATACATTGATGATACATTGATGAACCATTTAGATTCCTATTTTAACATAATTCACTTGTAGCACTAAAAATCATTTTAGTTTTCCATGGTTTCATTTATTTAGAAAAAAAAGACATTTATTGGTAAACTGCAATGACATTGGCTATGATGTAATGGAAGTAGTGACAGATATTTTCATTTCATGCAGACTTAAAGCGACAGTTCACCCAAAAACGTAAACTACCCCAGGATCTACTCATCCTCAAACCATCCTAGGTGTACATGACTTTCTTCTTTCAGACGAATACAATCGGAGTTATATTAAAAATGTCCTGGCTCTTCCAAGCTTTATAATGGCAATGAATGGGTGATATTCAATAGTCCAATAGAAGTCCAATAAAGTGTGTCCATCCACAATAAAAAAAGCACTTCACATGGATCTGGGGGTTAATAAAGGCCTCCTGAAGTGAAGCAATGCATTTGTGTAAGAAAAATATCCATATTTAAAACTTTATAAACCATAATCTCTAGCTTCCGCTAACTGCCGTACGCGTGTACACGAGAGAGTGGCGTTCAAGCGGATGACGTAGGACATATTCGTCTGAAAGAAGAAAGTCATATACACCTAGGATGGCCTGAGGGTGAGTAAATCATGGGGTAATTTTCATTTTTGGGTGAACTATCCCGTACAATTTTTTTCAGCTCTTCATCAACCAATATTGTATGGCTTCAGAAAACTGGTAATATAGTGCAAGAGTTGTATGGATCACTTTAAAGATACAACATTACTGAAGACTGAAAGCTCATTTTGTGCTCATTTTCTGACTACAGTCTATGGTCAGAAAAATGGTGCTTTTTGTTATTCTTGTAACTCGACCATTCTCATTTTTATTGTATGGAAAAGAGCAGCTTGAATACTCTGTTAAAGGGGTCCTATTATGCTTTTTCACTTTTTGAATTTTAGTCAGTGTGTAGTTTGTATGTTTGGGCATAAAAAAGATCTTCAAACTTACAAATATCAAAGTCCAGATATTTCGTTTTTAAAAAATCCCTTTTCAAGAACTACAATGAATGGCTCGTTTGGTTGTGGTTAGAACGCTGTGCTGCTGTAGCCTCAAGTTATTACACATGCACCTGAATAATTATGTATGTAAATATGTATGTAACAATTATGAAAACGTTTTTTTAATGATAAATTGCTGACAGTACAATACTGGACAATGATGTAATCTGCAGAATTTACACTTCAATTATGAGACTACAGTGCTTCCCATACATTGAGTACGGGTGTTTTTATATCACTGTATTTCTGAAGGAAACCGACTGTCTTCAGAAAATTGGATGATTGTAATGTCCCTTGCATGTAATGTCTGATAAAGCAGTGTTGTTTTTAGCGAAGCACTGCTTTGTGTACAGCTGTTACCGGGGAAACCTTGATCTCTACCACTCCAACAGCGCCTCCTGCTGGCAGAGAATGAGTTTGCATATATATGCCGCCTGGGAAACACTGAACTTTGGTATAAATAAATTCAACTGTATAACAGTTTCACCGCAATTCATGTTATAATGTTAGAATTAAATAACAATAAAAATAATACATATGCACTTATTTGTACATAGTAAATGCAGTTATTTTTAAGCGGTTGTTGACATCCTATCTAAATCGTGATTTAACCAAAAAAACAACAACAACAATAAGGTTACCACTCTAATATGTCTAGGAATATCCGTGCGTGCAAAGGTTCTGCACGATCCTCTTGTTCAATATTCTCTGGGTCTGAATCCGGCTCAAATTGATATGGCAATATTGACGCCATCCTTAACTAAACTTGCTGCTTTGGCAAGGGGCGGGGCAGTGCTGAAACATGTCTAAGCTGTTCGCCAATCACAACGCACTGGGACAGCTAACCAATCACATCCCATTGAGTTTTTCGGAAGGCGGGCGTTCATCAAAACCGGAACTAATTGAGCTGTTTGTGCCAGACTGGGGAGAAAGGTATTGTAATAATGTAAAATATGTAAAAAAAATTATGCGTTTTTTGAACCACCAAGCAAGAGAGCATGTTCTAGTACACCCCCAAAACAAATTCAAGACATTGTAAAAGAGCACTCAAGGGTCTCACCTCAGTCATGGTATTGAAGGTGGAAGAGAGCGCTGTACATTCACTCCCCTCACATACAATCCCTGCCGGTACCAAAACTCGAACCCGCAAACTTTGGATTATAAATCCGACTCTCTAACCATTAGGCCACGACTGCCCCCGTTGTGGCAAACAACAGAGAAACATAAAACAAAGAGCAATCTAATTCCATTGTGGTGAAAAGGAGGAAGATGAAAAAGCAAAAAAAAAGGAAAATGTAGCAGTGATAGAAGACAGATTGGTAAAGAAAAAGAAAAGTGCACTGTGTGTGTAGTGAATAGTCCAAGTGTTGTACTGCAGGAACAAGTAGTACATTCCCCTGTAAAACAAACGAGCCGTCTAAAATGCTTAGATTTGTGCCGGCCCAAGAATAGCAGTCCAACGCCAGGCCGAGATCCCCGGGGAACTGGCAGGGGGGAGAGCAGGGAAACTCGGATGAGGAAGGGGTTTGGTTTGTGGCTGCTGATGAGATTCTTAAGGGGAACATGAATACTTCGCTGATAGTTTGGGGTTTTCATTGGACACACAAAATGAGTCATGAAAACAAAACTTCGAAATACCGAAAACAAACCACACAATATGGCAAAAGCTGCAGTGATTCAGAGGTGATTTCCCTGCACTTTTAAGCATGCCAAAAATGCAGCGAGGGTTCGCAGAGTTCCTTACCTCTCCGAAGGCTCCCCTGCCAATCACTTTGAGCATCTCGAAGTCATCTCTGTGAAGCCGCATCTCCTTCACGGTGGTTGTGAACGGCTTCACTGTAAAGAGAGACAGAAAGAATTAGTTATGATCATTAGTTATGATCTATACTTTGAAATGGCCAATGGAGAAAGATGCTGGCACAGCCATTCTAAGTAATCCTTGACTTGATGCACCAATATTAAAATGCTGGTGGATACAGATAAACTGATAATTATAATATATCATTCTAATTTAAAATTATGGCCAAAGTTGTTTTAAACACTACAAGTGAATTCAGTACAGAAAAATAATGTATAGTATAAAAATGGATATTCATTTTGAGATTGTATAAAGATTTAACAGAGTTATTAAATTAGTGTTTTCAAAAGATTAACTTATCAGGAATGGGAACGAGAAAAAATTAAATGCATTTATGTAAATGTATTTATTTTTTAATTGATTTATTTATTCATGTAAATGTATTATGTATTGCTTAATTTATGTAAATATGTTTATGCAAATTAATTTAAAATTAAATAAAAGTGGCAAGAAAACTGCTATGGTACTGACATAATAACATGATCGTCTCATTATAAGAGTATGTATAAATGTGCTACTGAAATTATGGATTTTGATCTAAACGTCACCACAATCTGAACACAATCGGAGTGACTTCATCAAATCCAGCAGTAAAGAGATTAAAGTAGGGATGCACGATATATCGGCCACCATATCGGTATCGGCCCATATCGGCTCATTTTTTCTGTTATCGGTATCGGCCAAAATTTTCATATCGGTGCATCCCTAGATTAAAGGAAAAATGTAACCTAAACAGTGTGCATCAAATTTCATGTTGTCAAACTGTCGTCCATCCTGCTTTACGAGGCACCGCTAGAGACCTGGCGAGCCCCCAAGACACGGCTAAGCCAGCCTGAACGCCTCACCATATGAGGACATATGCTGAGTCTCATGTAGTTACAAAAGACATTAATCACTCATAAGTGCTCTAAAGTCTAAACACACAGCAGGCCTGCGCCTCAGCCGTTAGACGGAACCGCACGCTTGGAGCTGCATGGAAAGATCATCATCTGCTTTTAATGAGAAGATCCTTCAAAGTGGCCCAGCATCTATTGACAGCTTTACAGCCCAGCGCACTGGAATGTCACTCCAAAGACAGCAACGACAAAAAGAAAAAAAAATCTTGATATTATCGCTCATTTAGGAAACTACTAGTATTAACAGCACCACTGATAACAGAAGTTCATAAACTGGTGGTGCACCACTGTGTCTCTTAACCCACTGACCACGCAAAGCGGTTCTTCCGGTTACCTACTCTCAGCCTCAGACAGGACACCGTGGGCCATTCAGGCAAAAAACTGCCTTTCATATTCAAAATTGTATGCTTTGTTTTTCATACATGTAATCTGATCATCCTCTCAGCCCCCAAATATAATAAGGCATTTCTCTAAGTCTCCAGGCCCATGTATTCTCAATTACAATAAACTCTCATCGCTAACTGAACTAAATCTGTACTAAATGGCAACATCAGAACACCAGCTGCAGGACTGAAAATATGAAAACAAGCTGCTAGAAAAGTTCCTGCGGCCAACAGAAACAAAGAGGCAAAAGTGAAACTATGAAGTCTGTAGTCAGTGAAACTTTTTTTTTTAATATACTTTTATTCAGCAAGGACACATTAAATTGATCTACAGTGACAGTAGTGACATTTCTAATGTTACAAAAGAATTCTAGAGAATTTCTATTTCAAATAAATGCTGTTCTTTTGAACTTTCCATTAAGCACGAATCCTGAAAAAAAAATGCATCATTTGTTTACACAAAAACATTTGCAGCACTACTGTTTTTTAAAATAGCTAATTATAAGAAATGTTTCTTGAGCAGCAAATCATCAAATTAGAATGATTTCTGAAAGATGAAGTGACACTGAAGACTAAATGACTAATTTGGTCCAGTTTTTGTGTAAGTGTCTTTGCCGGTCATGCTGTATCACTTCCTGCATCCAGAAGAGCTGTGCAGTTAGCATGCACGCTCCATTAGACGAGACACTTGAGCCCTGTGCACAAAGATTAGACTGTGATGGATGAAGCAGTGAACCGTCCTCCTCACATGACAGACACTGTAACACCAATCACCGTAGCTGCTACTCTCATTAATACAGTCCCACACATCATCTAATGATGTCTGCATGGAGGACATGCCTGACGTATAAAAGCTCCAGCTTTATGAGTTTAAAATAGACTGCATTATCCCATGTGTGTCAGAGCGGAGCATCTCCAATCAATATGACACAATTAAATATTTAACAATGATGACGGGTCACAGCAAAACTAAAGCCAAATAAAAATACTCTTTTACTCCCTATTTTATGTCAAGTTACTTTAATTTTGTTGGTAACATTTTACAATAATGGTCCATTTGTAAACTACATTAGCTAACTAACAATAAAAAAATATTCTTTCTTTAATCTCAGCATTTACTAACACATTATTCAATTGTAATAAGTTTAATAACATTAATAAAAGTTATATCTGTTAATATTACAGTAACACTTTTGCAGTGCCACTTATTTTTTTGTGGTAAGGCCAGTGAAAATGTTGGCAGAGCAAGTAAAAACTTGAACTTCCAGTCCATTAGAAAAAATCCTTAGAATTGAGCTCTGCTAATGCTGTAAAATATAAATCAGAGTCAGTTGGTAACACATTACTATAATATTCAAGGGTAAAATTAACTGATTTGTTTACAAACATTTAAATTACACTCAATTAAGTTTTTCTAATAATTAAAGCTATAATACTAACTTAAATACTCTGTTACTCCCTATTTTATGTCAAGTTACTTTAATTTTGTTGGTAACATTTTACAATAATGGTCCATTTGTAAACTACATTAGCTAACATGAACTAACAATAAAAAAATATTCTTTCTTTAATCTCAGCATTTACTAACACATTATTCAATTGTAATAAGTTTAATAACATTAATAAAAGTTATATCTGTTAATATTACAGTAACACTTTTGCAGTGCCACTTATTTTTTTGTGGTAAGGCCAGTGAAAATGTTGGCAGAGCAAGTAAAAACTTGAACTTCCAGTCCATTAGAAAAAATCCTTAGAATTGAGCTCTGCTAATGCTGTAAAATATAAATCAGAGTCAGTTGGTAACACATTACTATAATATTCAAGGGTAAAATTAACTGATTTGTTTACAAACATTTAAATTACACTCAATTAAGTTTTTCTAATAATTAAAGCTATAATACTAACTTTACAATTACATAATTATATTTCTACTCAAATTCTTTCTTTCTTTTTTTTTTATACAAACATTTAAATGGTGGCTTGATGGATTAAATTGTGAAGAACAGTAAAAATTATAAATTTTAACTTCCAGTCCATTAGAAAAAATCCTTAGAATTGAGCTCTGCTAATGCTGTAAAATATAAATCAGAGTCAGTTGGTAACACATTACTATAATATTCAAGGGTAAAATTAACTGATTTGTTTACAAACACTTAAATTACACTCAATTAAGTTTTTCTAATAATTAAAGCTATAATACTAACTTTACAATTACATAATTATATTTCTACTCAAATTCTTTCTTTCTTTTTTTTTTATACAAACATTTAAATGGTGGCTTGATGGATTAAATTGTGAAGAACAGTAAAAATTATAAAGAATTTTATACGGTGCATATATTTGGCAAAATTATGCTCTCTATATTAAATTTTTCTAGCTGACTAACGAGTTTATGGTCACCGAATGTGTTTTCTTTTTAGGTTAATGTGTCGTTACATGACATTGTTTACAAGCTGTTATGCTGACGTCTTTCAATGGTTGAAACACTGATTGAGCGATTGAAACACTGATCCACGCGGAAACGCTGTTTACGCTTTGATTTGAACGAAAACAACGTATCCGCGTGGCGCAGCTGACACAAAACAGCATACTCAATAGGGTTGGGCCAATAGACGATGCCATCGTCCATCGCAGATGGCTGACAGACATCACGATGTTGAGCCAGCATCATGATCCCCCCCCCCCCGTTATCCACTATATCCAAGGAAAGGAAATTAAGTGTACTACGGAACCCCTAGAGGGAATAAATAGCCTACGAGATGGCTATTTCTTCATTAAATAACTTATAAAGTAATTTGAAAACCTTGTGTGAGATGTAATTTCGCAAACAGCGTGAGTGAATCACCACGCACGCGCTCTCTTTTTCTCTCTCAAAATACACAAATGGCTTCAAATCACCACACATCGCATCGGTCTATAAGCGAGCTGCACGCTGCACAGTTGACAGGAATTGTCACTTGCACAGTCGAGGCAATGCCACATTGTCACTAAACTTAATAAATTGCATTACTTTTTCATTCTTACCGGTGTTTAACCATTCAGCGCTCGCGCGCTCTCCTGGAGACCATACGCTCATGCACACTCGCAGCACACACACAATGCCAGGCTCACATTACTCCGTTTGCAGTGCGTATGTGGTGCGTATTTTTCCGCGCTCATGTTAACGGATTAATAAAGCATTCACTGCACACGGTTGAGGTCCGGCAGTGCGTTCCAGGAGCGTGCGTCTGCTGCAGTGCAGAGATAGTTTCCGCACCAAGTCTATTGCTGCGCTATGGAAGCCCGTTTCCGCCACTAAATAA